CGGTGTCGCGCACCCGACGGAGAACAACAGCCTCTTCGGCGGTGTCTTTCTCCAGAACCGGGAGAACAACGCCGGGGGGCATGGGACGGCGAGCGGGCGCCGCAACCCGAACAGCAGCAACCCGAACTTCCTCCACTACTATGACCCCGCCCTCGACGGGCCGGCTGAGGATCAGAGGAAGCGCCGAAAGCCCAACCGCACTAACTTGGAGTGCAACCCCGACGCCCAGGCCCCTGCGGGCCGAAAGGGAAAGGGCACCTTTTACGAACGCTACACCCGGAATACGGCTGGGATGCTGGAGTACGCCTAAGGGCGAGAATGGCAGAGGCGAAGTTCGCATTTGCTTATCCCAAACGACCGCCTGAAAGTTTGAGGCAGTATAGTAAATTATCATTCATATTTTAAGGAAAGGGATAGAGAAAGCCAATTTTACACCTTTGCTGTTGATGTTATTGCTTTACTATTTCATATATTTACTCAGACTTTTATATCTTGTTTCAGGAGTAAATGCTGAGAGAATAAAGTAAATAACCAAAGTGTGCACGTCCGGTGAGTAGCGGATACTAATAAACACGCCTTGACGTTCATAGTACGTGCTTGATATATATATATATATATGAATATATATTTTTATATACATACATATAAAGAAGACTTCAAACAAAGGCACATAGTTTTTTTCTTAAAGCTGCACTACTCTTTCTTCAAACAGTGAAGTGTAAATATGTATTCAACACATGAATGCAACTCAAATATGAACTTGTTCTCGAAGGACAAGAAAAATGGGAAAAATAGATCGGAAGGATTGGTATATACATGTCAAATACATTTCCTCTCTATATAAAAGGGGGAAAAATTTAAGCATCAATACAAAGTGAACACGAAAAGAAAAAGAGAAGCTAAGGTTGAATTTGTAAGTCTGAAACTGAGGTTTGATTGTGAATAACACTCTTAATATTTTTATATTTATTCAAGACAAATTTCACTGTATGAGTATTTTTCTATCTTTTTTTAAAAACAGTGAATAAGTTTTAGTCTTGATTGTATGCTTTTTATTTGTAAAAAAAAAGGATTTATATAGATCTATATTTATGTCTTTGAAAGAGGATAAAGGTGATTTTCCTTTGGTTTCGTTTTATCATACATGCTTCTTCGTCCTAGTCGGTGTTTAGCGCTTGTGGTCTTGTTCTTACTCAAAGAACACTGTCAATGTACCAAATCACGCACGCTTGAAAATTGGGAAAAAAGTAAATGATGAGTTTATGCGAGAAAAGGTAGGAAAAGGGCGGTAAGGAAGTGTGAATGTTGGTTATCTATAATATATATATTTATTGGAAACTCTAGACACAACGAAATGAAATCAAAATGTTTATTAGGATGTACTTTTTTTTTTGAAGTTGTTTTATTATTTTCTGGTCCGATATTGTTACTAATAGAATAGTGTCTATTGTCACCCTCTGGGAAGGCAAATGTTGTGACAAGTTCTCTTTGTCATAATTAAAATATGAGGATTATTGAGTTTGAGCAATCTTTTTTAGACTCCTTCATTTACAAACGAAGTGAGTTTTCCCTTTTTGTTTAACTTATTCACATTTTCAGAAAAGTTTTGCTAACCAATATGCTCCGTTTCATTAACCTGCGTTTGGCCATTAGCGCTTACACACTTTTTATGATAGAACAGAAAAACAATGCTAAACTCAAGGGACTTCGCATTTCAGAACGCGGCAAAATGACCTCAAATATGTATAAAGCGCTTTCCCCTCAAGATCGAGAGCTTCTTTTGAAACGCGCTGCCGCTCACCCGCCGCTAAAGCGTTCGGCTAAAACTATCAAGACGTCGGCTGATAAGAAGGACCCCAAGAAACCTCGCAAAGCCACTGCTTACACAATTTTTGTGAAAGAAAACATGAATAAGTTTGATAAATTGCCCCATCGTGATCGTATGAAAGCAGTAGCAAGGCTCTGGAAGCAGGAAAAACAGCGTGTTAGTCCTTAATAACTATCGACTATAACATTCGTCCCTTATTATTGGGTCAGATATACACAATTATCATACACTATAATATGCAAACACTCGAATCTTCCCTAATGTTTCTGCATCTTTTAGTTATAGACACTTTTTCCTTCTACACACCCCATATATATATATATGTATATATATATAGTCCTTTTAGGCTCTTACTTTGAATTCCAGCCTGATAAGGTAAGAGCACTAATTAAAAAAAAATGAAGTTTTGGTACTAGTAAATGGATTTTTCTAATTCAGATTTTTATGATGACCTAACATTCTGGTGTAAAATAATTCCCAACTCAATGCATTGTCTCTCTGAATGGGAAATATGAAGCATCAAGATTGATAGAAATGCTTTCTTTTCAAGGAGATGGAATAAAAATAATATCTACCTGCAAACAATTTAGAATAATTAAAAACGGAAATACGTGGGGAGGGGTGGGGGAGATGAAACTAGAAGTATTCAGTTAGACACTTTTCTGGCGAACATTTTTTGAGTGAACAAAGAAATTATCTTCTTTTAAAGATTTACTTTTAGAGACAGTTGTGGAAAGGCAAAACGAACCTTTAGCACACTTTTCTTCACTGATTGTAAGTATTTATTTTATGCCCTTTTGTTAATTTGACTCACATGGTGGAAAAAAGATTCAGAATAATATGCCGAAATCTTTCCCACCGGTGAGGTTTCCACTGAGGAATATCAGCACTTCGAACCTAGAGTATTGAATAAAAAAGTACATCTACCAACAATCCTTTTTTACTCCTTGCATAATTTTAAGAGATTTGCGTTAGATAGGAGATATTCATTTGTCTAGCGGTTAGGGAGTTCAAAAGTCCCAAGCGCAGTAGATCGAATTCTGTGCTACCAGTCCGGATCGGCTCTTTTTTTTTAAGAATTCAATGTTTTTACCTAGTCAAATTTTGTTCAATGGCATTCGAAAGAGGGCTTTTGAACTGTTTTTTAAGGAACAAACGCAAAAAAACCGTTCTTTACAGAAACTGTCTGAAGCAGTGAAGAAAAAAACCGTCATGCAAGCCTTCAAGTTACTTTCTGCGGTGGACTACAAAAATCTTAAAACGCGTGCCGAGGGCGTCGGCTCGCCTAAGCCTAAAGGCAAACCCAGCACCGCTCACTCCAAAGCCTTGAGGAGGGTGCCCAAAATCTCTCTCTATGATTTCTTCGTCAAGGAGCAGAGCAGCAGTCCCTCCATCACGGTCTTGAGAAACCCACGCGATCGCGAGCTGGTCCTGTTTGAAATCTTCAACAACCTCCCCGCCAAGGCCAAGCGGGCCCTGGAGAAGCGGGCCGCGGAGTACGACGCGTACCGGACCGCCCGGATGGCCTACTACGAGGCCAAGTCCCGTGAGTCCATCAAGCCCACAAAGTCCGCGAAACCCACAAAGCCTGCAAAGCCTACGAAGTCCAAAGAACCCGCGAAGTCCAGGGCCCGTGTGACATCTGGTGCGGGAAAGGCCCCTTTGGGACGGGCGCGGGTTGTCTCGCCCTTCGCGCGCTTCGTCAAGGCGGCGATGCCGCAGGTCCGGGACCGGCCCCGGGCGGAGCGAATGAAGGCGCTCGCGACCCGGTGGAAGGGCTTGAGTGAGGAGGAGCGCGCTCAGTACCTGGCAGAGGGGGAGGAAGGGGGGCCGACGACGACGGCGACCCCGGTCCCGGACCCCGGCGGGGCTGGGGTAAAGGAAGAGACCGCGGAGCCCGGGGAAGAAGGCCAATCAGGAC